AATGTGTCTCTGAACAAGTGTGGCAAACAATGGTATCCTTTGCCTGTTCAGGTTAATTGAACAGGCGCCTAGAGTCTATAAAAGGACGACCCCTACTACCATTTAAAAATACAAAAAAGACCAAAATACTGAAATTCAGAAACAATTCTTCTAACTTTTATACTTCTCTCTCTCTGTGCGCATACATATTGTTGCATCATTGTTCTTCATCCTCGATTCAAGTATAAGGCACAAATTTGTGTTCACTGAAATCTTGGAGATTGAAGTGCTGTTTCACCAAGAACATAAATCTGTTTTATCTTGAGAGACAATTGCTCATCAACCTTGAACACCAAGAGGAAGTAAATTTGTCTTAAGGAGACTGTGGATACAGAGCTCGAATTTATTATAATTTTCTAGTTCTGATGTTGTTGTTTTGCGTCCATGTGAGTACATTAATTTGTTTAAACAGCAGGCTTGACGTTTTAAATTTGCAACAATTTTTTAAGTTTCCTAAATCTAATTATATCCACAATATATTTGGGTAACATTATTTGTCTGACATGTTTATCTATAATTAGTTGTTAGTACCACGCAACAATAAAGACGTGATGCTAGAGTTCATATATCACCCTTTTTACATGATGACATCTAGGTTGTTTAGTTTTACGCAGGAGAAACCATGCAACGACAAACAATTGGCTGAAGCTTACAAGTGAAATGATATTCTAAGTGGAAAATTAGTGATAAAGAACAAGAATGATCAAAAGAGCAGATCACTCATTTGATATATGGAAAAATTAGCTGATGAAAAATAAAAAATTTAGGACAATTGAAATCAAAGAGATAGGTTAGGACAATTGAAAAATAAAAATTTTAGGAATTCTCAATCATAATCAAATGATTTGATCAAAAATTGACAAATAGAGAGAGATGAGAGATGCAATAGTGAACAATCAAATCAAGGAAGTAAGATATACAACACATGTCTAAAATTTAAAAGCCTTAATAGCAATGGCAAAATAAATATTGCCATAAAATAGATTATTTGTAACGATCTTATATTTTGCCAATAAATATGTGTTAGTGGCGACACACATCGCCACTATTTTTGCAAGTTTAGCGGCAAAAAAAATATTATCACCAAAACAATATCAACTAGCGACTTTTTTTTATCGCCACTAATTAAGTTAAGATTTTGTGGCAGGTCTCCTCAATATGCCACTGAGAAGCCAACAGTGCCAAAAAAAATTCCGCCCTACTATATGTGGCAAAATTATTAGTGACAAAGTTAAATTTGTCACATATCACACCTAAGTTTGCATAATTAGTGACAAAATTAGTGGTCACCACTAAATTGTATGTTTCTGTGGCAAAATGACATTATCGCCACTAGGTAGATTGAATTAGCGACAATACAAATATCACCGCTGATAATATCACCACTAAAGTGCTTATTTCTTGTAGTGAGTGGATGAATTAAATTTTCTTCCAACTCACCAATATCAATTCCTCTAAAACTAGAAGGAAAAGTGAATGAAAAGTTAATTATGTGGGTAATATGTTATTTATCGATATATCTTTTGATATATACATATATTATATTTATCAATTACATATTATGTATATATTTATATCCTTTTTAAAAATAAAAAATATAAAAAATACTATATTCATCTTACCAAACAAAAAAAAATCAATTCTTCCTATTTTTCGTTTCTCTTTCCAATACAAAGGAGGAAATGAAAGATTCCTCTTTTAAATAATAAAAAGTGCATCACTCCCACTTTTTGTTCTTCAATTTCTTCATCTACCCTACTAAACGGACTATTAGTGATAAAATTAATTTTTCCCTTAAATGATAGAAAGTGCATCACTTCCATTTTCTGTCCTTTCATTTCTTCATCTACCTTACTAAACAGACTATTAGTGATAAAATTAATTTTTTTTAGATAATTAAGAATTTAATCCATTTAAATCGAGTCAAATGTTACTTGGATTTGTCTGATCATATAAAAAGTGATTAAAAGCATGATCAGATATAATTATAATTTAAATGATCATAAAAAATAAAAAAAAAATTCAGGACAAACCGAAACTGTTCGGATTGTACAACCATCTTATCTATGAATATCCAACACGGTCTAGTTTAGTTCAACTTTGTACCACCCTACTACAGTTTTTGCCCTCTCTCTCTCTCTCACACACACACACACACACAAAAGTTCTGGAGAAGCCATCTAATTAATCCCAATGTCTATTATCCTAGAAGCCAAAGACACGTTGGACTGCCTACTTAGCTGTAAGCATAGAGACATCCAGTATAGTGTTTGTTTCATTTCAAACAGTAAAAGAGGTTTAATTTTTCCTCTCTTTTTTTTATAGGAACATGTTTGTAACATGCGAAGAGGCTCAATAACCACTTTGGAATGTCCACTCCAAACCTGCTGAACTACATTGTCTATGAGTCTTCTATTGTCACGTTTGACGATAGGAAGAACAAATACACATAATTTGTCGGTAAAACAAACTAACTAAGCTGCTCGAATCATTTAACATTCCAATTCTAATCTTGAGAAACGATGGAAAAAAATATTAACAAAAAGAACCATGTTTCAAAATGGCCTACAGCGTGAATATTGGTTCCCAAAAGTTTATTATATTCAAAGGGGTTCAATGAGCCTCAAATAATTTTTTCCCTAAAGACAAAATAGAAAAATGAAATGAGAACCTAAATACCCGACATAGTTCCATGTATGGACCAAAGCGAAAACGAAACAAATCCTAAAGTATTTTAAGAATGACGATCTTGTAATATTCAATGCAATTTCGACACCATGTCTTTATTATCGTGTGGTATCACTAACTAATTATAATTAAATATACATAATTAGGGTATCTCACCAAATTTTATAATGAATAAAAATTTCACATTCAATAATTACCATATAAAATGCATAGATTTTTTAATTATTGTACATGTTTATTCATAATAGATTGTTAGTACCACGTGATGATAAGGACTTGATGTTAGAGTACATATATCACCCTCCTATATTTAACGTACGACCATGCATGATGATATCAAGGCGGTTTAGTTTTATGCAGGAGAAACCATGCAACGAGAAACAATTGGCTGAAGCTTACAAATGAACTGATATTCTGAGTGGAAAATAAGTGATAAAGAACAAGAATGATCAAAAGAGCAGATCACTCATTTGATATACGGAAAAATTATCAGATGATTCAGATATTATGTATTGATTTTATTTGCTGATTAAATTATTTTAAGTCAATAGATAGACAATCAACCACTATTTAATTGGGACACACTATCAATTGTATGCCCGGAGAAACTAATTCACCAATCAACAAATTAATTTCAAATAACATTTTTTTTAACACCATGTCTTTTGGCGGTGGTTATGTCACACAACTTATGTGTGTGTGGAATCGGCCGTGTTATCAATGATTAAAAAAAAAAAATTAGTACATTGTTTTAGTCATCTAAGAAACGAAAATATTTCGATGTATTTCAAAAGCGTTTCAACTTGTTTCGAAAATATAATGAAAAAAATAAATAATTTAATAATTATTATTTCAAAACATTAGTCAAAACATACCAAAATGTCTGAAAATATTTCAAAATAATTGTGCAAATATATTGAAACATTACAAAACACCTCAAAATTTTATGAAACACCTCAAAATATTAAATTTTGATTTCATTAGTAATTCGTTTCAATCTCTTTAAAAATAAAAATGTTTCGAATGTTTTGATCATTTCAAAACAAAATTTTGATGTTACATTTTCATGAGTCTGATCATTAGATGCCGTTTTGAAATTGGTTTTAGTCAGTCAAAGAGGCCATTCTCATCTGGACTTCACTGTGTGAATTAGGATTACGGACAAACTAGGCCGGAGGGACGGCCGTGGTTAGAAACCCTAAAGGGCTTTAATATAAATTGGGAATAGAGTTTGTGTAATGATCAGAGATATGTATTTCCGAAACTTTGCGGAATTTAACGATAAGTGATTGAACTTAGTTAAAATCTGCCTGCGACCGTGAAGTGATAACTTTGATTGTTGGCCACTTGATCCCATTCTCCATTTTCTTCCTTTACTCCCTCTAAATAGAATTACAAAATCATTTTTCTTTTTTGGTCATAGTTTGAGCCGTGATCAATTTTTTCACAAACTTGAGCATAATAATGATCATATAAATCACCCATAGAAGAAGAATTTGTATCATCAAACCATTAAGTGGTGACGAATTAATACACAAAGCTCCTATGTTTGACTCAATCAACTAGTGGAACCCATTTATTTACAAGTTGTGATATTCATCTTGAGTCTATTTACCTTGTTAAGCTATATTCACAATGGAAATGTGATTTGAATTTAATTTATTATAAATATTATTTTGTCAATAAAACTCGCTATTAATGTAATGGCTGTTATAGATTAATTCAACACATTATGTCCAAATAGTATACTTGTAAAGATAATAATAAATTAACCAAAAGCGAGAACAAAAATAAGGGAACAAAAAAGCAAAGTAAGAATAATAAGACATCGTAGGATTTAAGGTTTAAAAGTTCAATAAGTACAAAAAAAAAACAAAATGCAATACAAGCCGAATGAAACCCAAAAACATTTTCTTAACCGTGATTTGCATCAAATTCCATTTTCCACGTTTAAAAATTGTTAAAATGCAAAGGCAATTCTGTGACCAAGTTAGGTATTCGGGGTCATTTAATTGTTAATGACTCTTTCATGTTTCCCCCTCGATATAAACATCATCTTCCACCTCTCTCTTCACTCTCTCTCTCTCTCTCTCTCTCTCTCTCTCTCTCTCTCTCTCTCTCTCAATGAAATGGAAGCTGATCGGCCTGCTCCAGAAAACCTTGACTAAGCAGTCTGCAAATCAGATGAGCCAGGGTCAAGCCAAACCATTAGGACATATGAATGCAGCTTCTGTAAAAGAGGCTTCTGTAATGCACAGGCACTAGGAGGCCACATGAACATCCACAGGAAAGACAAGGCCAAGCTCAAGAAGGTCCCAAAGATCAAACAATCATATCCTTCAAGGGCTACGGTTAGAGACACCATCCAATCACTGGAGGTCAAGTTTATCAAAGAAAAAAGCAACTAAAACTGGCCCTGGAATTTATCTTCAGAGGATGAAATTGAATATACCCTAAAAGTTGGAGATGGAACCCAAGTGGGAAAACTGTTAAAGATGCCATTCTTTGGAGACTCAACTTCAAGGATCGAAAATCAGGCTCTGCTACTGGTGCAATCACACAATCTTCGGGGCCAGAATTAGACTTGGAGCTTAGCCTAGGGCAAAAATTTCCAGAGCCATCCGCTACACTGGCTACCAGAAAGTTCTTCTGAATCTCTGATCAGGTCTTCTGTCTTTTACTTCTACTTGATCCGAATAATCCCTTGCTCGACTGGTGAAGAACCTATTTTCGATCTCTAAATACCGTGATATATCCATGCAATTGTCCAGACCCATTCATATTTGGTGCTGGAGATGATAAGTTCAATTTTATAACCTTCAAATTGATATAGGCCATGTATACTTACGACATTTGGTGTGTTTTCTTCAAAGATAAACGCCCCTACGGTGAGAAAATTGCTTATTAGCATGAAATAGATTCCTGTATTTTGCGGTGAACAATAACTGCAAAACTCAGATGAGATACTTCTTCTTAAAGTGGGTCAAATTTGGTTCGCATATACGTACCAGTAATGGCTTAGGGTTTGAAGTGGGGGTACATGATGTGTGCACAAGTCCCTGGTTATTACGATATGGGGATCTGATAATTTAATGCTGTTGCAGTATAGATAGTCTAGATTTATTAAAATTTCTTTTCCCTTTTTTACCCTTACTAAGATTTTTATATTTTGCCTAAACTACAAGGATGTTTAAGTCACTCTGTATTATTTTTGGATATATATACGGGGCTCTACTCTTAATTTGAGTATCCCTGTTTCACACACATTCATTCCAAGTTGGTATCAGAGCCACAACTGTAACCCTAACCCTAACCCCTCCTCCACGTTGCAGCTGACAGCCACCGGCCACCGCACTGCCACCGTGACTGCTCCAAATTAACCACTGCAGCGACCCACCTACCAGCGAAAAACCCCTTTAGCCTACATATTAAACCACCGACTGCCTCCAACACATCACATCCTCACCGACTGCCTCCATATCACCAACCACCAACTGATTGTTTCAATAACCACACCGACAGACCAACCAATATAGCCCAATAAACATACTGATAAACACGACATACTGCCCAATAACCACACCGACTGCCTCCATATCACCAACCACCGATTGACTGCCTCAATAACCACACCGATAGACCAGCCAATATAGCCCACACATCAAACCAGTCCACTGATAAACCCATACCAACCCAATATAGTCCCAACCACCTAGCCTACTGTTGGGTCACTGCTCAGTCCACTGCCGGGTCGTGTTTCTCTTTTTAACTTCATCCTTTGCACTCTTCGTCATAGTGCTACCAGATTGCAATATCTAGGATCCTTTTTTTTTTATGAGGGGTTAAATCTTCTTCTCCGTCTGTTGATCTGCTCTTGATGCAGTAGATCATTTATATTTATTGGATTTCTGGGCACCGTGACTTGATTATTTGGGAGCTTTTTGGACCTTCCTTATTTGTCGCTACTGTTCGACTGAAGGTATATTGTTCTCCCTTATTTTATTCCTCTATTTATCTTAGAGTTATTTTTCTGTCACGGGTGCCCTAGTATTGTTGTTGATATGGCTACTACTGAGGGACTTGAGAACCCTACTGTTGACACCTCTACCGTTGAGACATCTATGGGTACTTCCACTTTTAGTTTGACCAGTATACAGTGCCTACTAGCACAGTCGCATTACCAGCATTACCGGGCATGATCTCTCAAAAAGTTACGGCAAAATTGTTGAATGGTTGTAACTTCGCTGAGTGGTCACGCTCATTCCAGCTTTTCTTAGGCCGTGTAGGGAAGCTTGGTTGGCTGACGGGATCTCACCCAAAGCCAGCTGATGCCGACCCTGGATATTCTGCGTGGTTCTCTGAAAACTGTGCCATTCTTGGATGGTTATTTGGCTCAATGGAGCCCTCTGTTTGCAGGATCCACCAGTTTCATAGCTCTGTTCCGAAGCTATGGAGCGCATTATCAGAGATGTATTCTCAGTCAGGACGGGGAGTTCGTGTTTATGAGCTTTCTCAGGAGCTCTCATATGCTCGGCAGGGAGATATGACCGTTCAGGATTATTATGGCTATTTGACCCAGCGCTGGCTTGAGTATGAGTCTCTACGTCCTCTTGCTGCTATTCCGAAGATAGAGCCCGAGGGAGCAACATTCTTGCATACTCGAGAGCAGGAGGATAGGATTCACAAGTTCCTTATGGGGCTTCGTGATGAGTTTGAGGGACCTCGTTCTCAGATCTTGTCGATGTTGACACTTCCTTCTCTTTATGAGGTGTATGGGATGATTGAGCAGCATGAGCGTCGAGTCCGTATTGCATCACTTCCAGTTGCAGCTTTGACTCCTTCGATTGACCAGATGGCCCTTGCAGCTGCTGTAGGGTCCCGTTCAGGATCCTTAGTCAGGGATGGGCAACGCTCAGACCAGCGCCGTCAGGGCGCCCCAGATCAGCGCAGACGGGGGGATTCCCGTCAATGTGATTATTGTGGCCGACCAGGACATCTCAGGGCTACTTGCTGGAAGCTCCATCCAGAGCTTAAGCCACCTTCTCGCAGCCGTACTGTTGCTATTGCTGAGGTACCACCGCCCACTACCGCCACTCCTGCTACTGCTCCTCCTTGGCAAAGTGATATGGATGCTATCACTTCCCGATTAGATATACTTATGTCTGCTCTGACTTCTCAGAGTCTGACTACTGCTGCTGTCACCACTACAGGTATATCTCGTGCCTTTCACGCTTGTGCCAGTTCATCTCCCCTTTGGATGTTGGACTCGGGTGCGAATGGTCACATGACAGGTGAGGCCCATCACTTCACCACTTTTGACGAGCCGTTACATACACAGGTTCAGTTAGCAGATGGAACACATGCCCCTATTGTTAGTAGGGGTACAGTCCGTCTCCCAGATGGCCTTACATTACATTCGGTTTTTCATGCGCCAAAGTTGGCCATGAATCTATTATCTGTACATCAGTTAGCCAGAGATTTTCACTGTGCGGTTGTATTCTTATCTGATTCGTGTTATTTGCAGGACCTGAGTACCAGGAGGATTATTATCAAGGGACATGAGAAAGATGGACTGTATTATCTTGGCAATCCATCTCCAGTTTCACCAATTCCTTCACCTGCACCTGCTTTGTCTTTTTCTGTTCCTAGCTTGCATGCTAGTATTTTACCTAGTAGTTGTCGTTATGATTTTTCGTCACAAACTGTTCAATTGTGGCATGACCGTTTTGGACATACAAATTTTAAATATTTATGTATGTTGTTTCCTGCTTTGAGTAATGCTTGTGTTGGTGGTAAACTTGATTGCGTTATCTGTTCCCTATCAAAACATGTTAGGGCCAATTATATTCCTCGCATGCACCAGTCACCCAAGCCATTTGACCTAATACACTCTGATATTTGGGGACCCTCTCCCGTTACTGCTCTGTCAGGTGCCAGATATTATGTGACATTTATAGATGATCATACCCGTTGTACTTGGGTCTACCTTTTGCATAGGAAGTCTGATGTGCTCCCTATAATCACTCAGTTTTTACAGATGATTAAGACACAATTCGATGTCATTGTTCGTGCTCTTCGTTCGGATAATGCCAAAGAATATGTGTCTGATGCTTTAGTGTCTCACCTTTCTTCTCAGGGTATCCTTCAGCAACTCACTTGTCCATATACTCCTGAGCAAAATGGTGTTGCTGAGAGAAAAAATAGGAGTTTGATAGGGATGGTACGTTGTCTGCTTAGAGGCATGAGGGTACCAAAATCTTATTGGCATTTTGCTGTTTTGACTTCTACCTTTCTGTGCAATCGTACGCCGAGTCGTGTTCTTCAGCATAAGGCTCCCTTACAGGTCTTATTTCCTGAGCGGACACTTTTTCCGGTCCCCCCTCGTGTTTTTGGATGCACATGTTTTGTTCAGGATCGGTCTCCTACTCGTCATAAACTTGATGATAAAGCGATTCGTTGTATCTTTGTGGGCTATTGTCATCAATCTAAGGGGTATCGATGTTATGATCCTATTAGGCGTCGTATGTATCACAGTCTAGATGTTACCTTTCTTGAGCATATTCCTTATTTTCCTTTCAGTCCTTTGTCTGCCCCTCCAGTTGATGATACTCCCTTTGATTTTCCATTACCACAAGAGTCAGAGTCATTGATCACTATCCCTACAGGGTCATCCGTTTTTCCTCCAAAGGAGTCACTCATCCCTGTCAGTACAGAGTTACCAGTCTCTCTTCCTTTGCAGGTGTATGCTCGTTGTCCTCGCTCTCATCACCCTGCTGATATCCCCTCTACCTCAGGCGATGCAGGTAATACTTCTCAGTTTGTTGAGCATATTGATGCACCTGTTGTTAGTACTGATGAGATTACAGGTGCTGAGCCAGTTACTTTACCTGATAAGATATTATCAGTAGAGGATGGTGATTTAGGGCGTCGTTATCCAAGGCGTGATCGCCGTCCAGTTGATCGATATGGTTGGACCGCCAAGATTTTATATCCGATCTCTGCTTATGTTTCTTATGGTAATCTGTCTCCCACATTTCGAGCTTATACTATGGCCTTATCAGATACGCTGGTTCCTCGCTCTATTTCGGAAGCTATGCGGGAGCCCCAGTGGGTTCTTGCCATGCAGACAGAGATGGACGCTCTTCAGCGTAATCATACATGGGATCTTGTCTCCTTACCTTCAGGGGTGAAGCCTGTTGGCTGTCGCTGGGTTTACACCCTGAAGTTTCTTGCAGATGGTACTATTGATCGTTACAAGGCTAGACTTGTGGCGAAGGGCTTTACTCAGGTACCAGGTCGTGATTTTGGTGCTACATTTGCCCCCGTGGCAAAATTGACTACTGTTCGGTTAATTATTTCTCTGGCTGCGGAGTACTCTTGGCCTCTTCATCAATTAGATGTGAAGAATGCGTTTCTTCACGGTGATCTGGACGAGATTATTTATATGGATGCACCACCGGGCTTTCGTGGTGAGGGGGAGTATGCTGGAAAGGTATGTCGACTGCGTAAGTCTCTTTATGGACTGAAACAGTCGCCACGAGCCTGGTTCTCTCGCTTCAGTGATGTAGTCATACGATTGGGGTTCACCAGGTGTCATTCTGATCATACCTGCTTTATTCGACGGAATACTTCTGGACAGTGTGTCATCCTTCTGGTATATGTTGATGATATTATTATTACTGGTGATGATGTTTCTGGGACTGCGCAGGTCAAGATAGACCTTGGGAAGGCCTTCGATGTGAAGGATCTTGGATTTCTGCGATACTTTCTTGGGATTGAGGTTGCCCGTAGAAGCAGAGGTATTGTTCTTTCTCAGAGAAAGTATGTTTTGGATCTTCTTTCAGACACTGGGATGTTGGGGTGCAAACCGGCATCATCACCTATGATTCCAAACCTGAAGCTTACTGCTGAAGGTGAGGAGTTGAAAGATCCGACAGTTTATCAAAGATTGGTAGGTAGACTTATCTACTTAGTCAATACTAGGCCAGACATTTCATTCGCAGTTAGCCGAGTTAGTCAGTTCATGCATAGGCCATGTCAGCCTCATCTTGATGCAGTTTATCATATTCTTCGGTACCTCAAGTCTTGTCCTGGACTTGGGTTGTTTTATGCATCAGGATCTCAGACCGGTTCTCTAGCCTGTTATTCAGATTCAGATTATGGGGGAGCATGTGATGGTCGATCTACTACGGGTTTCTGTGCTTTTCGAGGGACTCATCTTATCTCTTGGAAGAGCAAGAAGCAGGCAGTTGTCTCCCGCTCGTCCGCAGAGGCAGAGTATCGGGCATTGGCACTTGGCACATGTGAGATTATCTGGCTACGATCGATTCTTGACGAGTTGGGTTTTTCAGTGACCTCTCCATCCACATTATATTGTGATAATCAATCTGCTATTCAGCTCGCTTCTGACTCTGTACTACATGAGAGAACGAAGCATATAGAGATCGATATTCACTTTCTTCGGGAGAAGGTCAGCAGTGGTCTTGTTACTCCATCGTTTGTGGGGACCAGTGATCAAGTTGCGAATGTTTTTACCAAACCTGTCACTCTGTCTATTCTTCGGGACTCCGTTGTCAAGGTTGGCTTAGTTGACATTTTTGCGCCTAGCTTGAGGGGGAGTGTTGAAGTATAGATAGTCTAGGTTTATTAGGATTTTTTTTACCCTTACTAAAATTTTTATATTTTGCCTAAACTACAAGGATGTTTAAGTCACTCTGTATTATTTTTGGATATATATACGAGACTCTACTCTTAATTTGAGTATCCCTTTTTCACACACATTCATTCCAAGTAATGCTATATCAACTGTTATGGACATGTCAACTTTAGATTTATGCTATTAAACCATGCCAGTCAAAACATCATTAATTAGTTCCATCAAAGTTTACCATATAATGTGGAACAGATAGTAGAATATTTGACGAAACTTTGCTAATTTGATCCAAATAAACATGATAAATCATGTTACAACTAACCCACTATTTCATCTCTCTTGCAAGCCCTAAGCTTGACCGCCATGGCATTCATCCCAACCAGTTGCACAACATCACAACATTCTCTTCTACTTCCAGCCTGAGAAAAAAAACAGATAAAAGTAATAAAGTGACAAAGGGTTCAAAAATTTTGAAAGAAAAAAAAAAAAAAGAAAAACTATAACAATATTAGCTTAGAAAATGCATGTAACGATCTAATTAATGCCCAAAAAATGGTGGGGAGGTTGCTGGAATGCACTCACCCCTCCATAACTCCTCAAGGGTGACAGAACATCAATTTTAGAGATTCCAGCTGCAGAATGATTGCCATATAATGAACAAGCTGGTAATCCACGTGGTGATTTTCGAGCATAGCTTGTGAAAATATGGTTGCCTCTAGTTTTATTTACAGATTCAAAGAAGAAAACATGAGGAGCTTCACAAGGGTCATTCAAAGGAAACCTAGTGTTAAACATATAGGGTGGTGTTGCACCCTTCCTCCATTGAGCAAATGTCTCAAGGGGCCTATGAAGAAAGCTTGGTGGAAAGATTTTCTCGTAAATTTGAGTGGAGTAGCCCCATGATATGGAGAAAGTCCAATTGTTTTGCTTGTGGTAGCAGATGCTTTGTTGTAATAATCGAGACGAATCGACTTTTGCAGCTTTCATAAGATGGTTAACAGATCCATGGCGATCCATGGAGGGAAAGATTGGGTCTACAACATCAAGGTGGTGGAGGGAGAGGAAAGGAGACTGGGGATGTGCTGATAGAAGACCTGATATGTCACGGTGTAGATCAATCTGCAATGACAAAGAGCAATGCTGATGATAGGATTTACAAAGGGTAATCCAAAAATGAAAAGCATAAAACATGCAACAATCAAATTCACCTTGTTATGCACCCGATGACAAACATTCAGTAAGAGAAAATTTAGAAAGAAAAAAAAATAGCAGAATACACGACTATAGTTGGCTCGAAACCTATTATGTTTAAAGGTCAATCCCAACGGTAAAAGTTCACTATAAACCATTGCAGTTATATCGATCTAGTTGCAAATCGGAGCTAAATATAAGATGCTGTAACACGATTTTTGTATCACAAGTTATATTTTTGCACTTAACCTAAAAGCCTGTCACATATAACGATAAGATAGGTCCCTCAGACCTAATTAATTTGTTAGCATAATTTGATGGTGTCATCATATTGGGTTTGAAGTTTGAACCTTATCTAAGATTGGAAGCTGGTCCACCATTAGCAATAGGATGGTAACCAAATTAGATTCAACTAATATTATTTGTATAGATAAAGCTATGAATGTGGTGCACCAAACCAGAAAAGGTGATCCAAAAGCACAATTACCTGATGAAACCCTTTTTCTCCAGTTAAGGAGACTCCTAGGTCAGCTATACAAGACTGTAACATATGGTCACTGCCAAACAAAGTTGGGTATCTCTTGATACACAAATCCATATTTTTTGCCACTGCCTGTGCTAATGGATAACTCAAAGCATACCCAGCTCCCCCAAATGCCATTTCATACGAGTTATAGAAATTCGACAGAGCACACTCCGAGTTTGTGCCAATGTAGAAGTACTTGGTATGGTCATATTTGGAAAGAACATCTACCAAATTATCAATGAACAAAACTGTGTCATCGTCCGCCATGACATACCACCTTATATCACCTCTATTTTCTGCCTTGAATGTCTCCTCTATCACACGCACCATTCTGATTGCAAATGGCATTCTGTGTTTGTGGTACGCATTGTATTTTGAGTTATCTTCGGAAATTCGAAAAGCCGGAGAAGATGAAGGCCATGGAAGGTTCTCTATGGGAGGTCTGTCTAGAAAGAGATAACCCCGGGTTACGTTTGGTTTCCACCATGCTTCTATGTAACCTTTCTTGTGTCCCCAAGTGTTTGATGAACCTGCTATTCCAAAAACTAAGTGGTTGACATTGGTAGGAGAGTTGGGGCCAGCATAGGGACTCCATTTCTGCTTTGAGTTGGTGAAGAAGAGAGATGAATGGCAACATTGATGGGCAGATAAGAGTATGTAGGTGATATAGAGGACTAAGCCTGAAATTGCTAGTGATTTAAACAACCTTCGGCTCGATGTATTGGAAACATATGTGACTTTTTGTTGGATGATATTAAATGTCTTTGAAGCAAAATTGTTGAGGAATGACATGAAGTAGGGAAGTTGGAACTGCCCAAATTGAAGAATTCCCATGGTCGAAAATTTAATCTCATTCCTAGTTTTGATTGTGTCTTATAACTTGATATATCTTTTGGATTTGATGGTTCATGTGAAGTGCTGTGGCTTTTTTGACATGGTATTTTACGTGCCATGGTGTATTGGCTTTAACGGCTGGCCAAGGCTTTCTATATTTCAGAAGGAAAAAAGAAGAGTTGATCATGGAATGGGTCAGGTCCAATGAGAATTATACATTTATACTAATGATTAATTACTGGTTTGGAAGATGATGCTTCTTGTGAGGAGTGAGAAAAGTCGTGCAAATGTAGCAAGTCTTATCGAGGGTTTACTGAATTCTTGCGAGACAAAGGGTTGGATGGCATGAGAGAGATCACGTCAAACTTAATGTTGGCCTCCTTTAGATTAATTCTGTTTTCCCCAAAGGGCCTTCACATTTTGCTCATTCCCCATTTTTTTTTTTTTTTTGATTAATGAGGAACCTTTTCAAGACAAGGTCACTTTGGACCTATCCCTACAAAAGTGTAAACCTCAAATACCAGCAATCACTCGTAAACAACGTATATCAGTTAAGTCCGAGAAATATCAACAAGAATCTAAATCCTGACATCTGGGTCTATGGTTCGTCCAGATTCAACCCTACACTGTTGAGCTACCCGTGCAGATTGCCCATTCCCAAATTAACACTTTTGCTTTTCGTGTTTTGTTTTTGAACTTGGTTTCCTTTATATAACAATATTATTTGTCCTTAAATTAAAGAACCTAATGCTATTTGATGTTGATTAAAGCCATAATACGTTGCAACCATTAGAGTTGATAATGAAACTTCATTCAATGTTGAAACATAATGTTAATCTAATGATGACAATGCATTGAATCCCCAAATAAATATCTCAAATAAAGTCTTCTGCTGATGAAAGTATTGTGTAACTAATTTTCCTAGTTTTTTTAAAAAATATATTACCTGATATTTACCTTTGTATGTTCATCAATGATAAACCTACTCTAGACCAACAGGCCTTTGGTCTAATGGTATTCCTTACCTTGTGAAAGGCATTGCCTTCTTGAGGTTAAGGGTTCAAGTCCCCCCTCCCTCCTCCCAAAAAATAAAAAAAAAAGATAAACATGCTCTACATTATATTCACATTATCGTGGCGGGTTATTGGAGGTGGAGAACAGAAAAATTACATCCGATGCATAAAATTCTCACCTGTAACAAGTCTGAGAGAGGGGGAGGCAAAAAAACAAAAATATAAAAAATTACATGATAAATGTTGATAAGAGTTCTCAAAACCTTTTTTTTCTTNAACAACCTTCGGCTCGATGTATTGGAAACATATGTGACTTTTTGTTGGATGATATTAAATGTCTTTGAAGCAAAATTGTTGAGGAATGACATGAAGTAGGGAAGTTGGAACTGCCCAAATTGAAGAATTCCCATGGTCGAAAATTTAATCTCATTCCTAGTTTTGATTGTGTCTTATAACTTGATATATCTTTTGGATTTGATGGTTCATGTGAAGTGCTGTGGCTTTTTTGACATGGTATTTTACGTGCCATGGTGTATTGGCTTTAACGGCTGGCCAAGGCTTTCTATATTTCAGAAGGAAAAAAGAAGAGTTGATCATGGAATGGGTCAGGTCCAATGAGAATTATACATTTATACTAATGATTAATTACTGGTTTGGAAGATGATGCTTCTTGTGAGGAGTGAGAAAAGTCGTGCAAATGTAGCAAGTCTTATCGAGGGTTTACTGAATTCTTGCGAGACAAAGGGTTGGATGGCATGAGAGAGATCACGTCAAACTTAATGTTGGCCTCCTTTAGATTAATTCTGTTTTCCCCAAAGGGCCTTCACATTTTGCTCATTCCCCATTTTTTTTTTTTTTTTGATTAATGAGGAACCTTTTCAAGACAAGGTCACTTTGGACCTATCCCTACAAAAGTGTAAACCTCAAATACCAGCAATCACTCGTAAACAACGTATATCAGTTAAGTCCGAGAAATATCAACAAGAATCTAAATCCTGACATCTGGGTCTATGGTTCGTCCAGATTCAACCCTACACTGTTGAGCTACCCGTGCAGATTGCCCATTCCCAAATTAACACTTTTGCTTTTCGTGTTTTGTTTTTGAACTTGGTTTCCTTTATATAACAATATTATTTGTCCTTAAATTAAAGAACCTAATGCTATTTGATGTTGATTAAAGCCATAATACGTTGCAACCATTAGAGTTGATAATGAAACTTCATTCAATGTTGAAACATAATGTTAATCTAATGATGACAATGCATTGAATCCCCAAATAAATATCTCAAATAAAGTCTTCTGCTGATGAAAGTATTGTGTAACTAATTTTCCTAGTTTTTTTAAAAAATATATTACCTGATATTTACCTTTGTATGTTCATCAATGATAAACCTACTCTAGACCAACAGGCCTTTGGTCTAATGGTATTCCTTACCTTGTGAAAGGCATTGCCTTCTTGAGGTTAAGGGTTCAAGTCCCCCCTCCCTCCTCCCAAAAAATAAAAAAAAAAGATAAACATGCTCTACATTATATTCACATTATCGTGGCGGGTTATTGGAGGTGGAGAACAGAAAAATTACATCCGATGCATAAAATTCTCACCTGTAACAAGTCTGAGAGAGGGGGAGGCAAAAAAACAAAAATATAAAAAATTACATGATAAATGTTGATAAGAGTTCTCAAAACCTTTTTTTTCTTTTTTGTGGGGGTAGGGGAGAGGAGTGATCTACAAATGGGGACACGGGAGGTAGTTAAATGCAGCATATTTTTTCAATAGTATGATGTACAAAATTTTATTCTCGATCAATCACATTGATTCTATAGTTGAACGTGATGGTCACGGCTCAAATCAAGTCCAAAATTACGGATAAGTCTCAAAATCAAAGTCAAGGCCCAACTAAAAGGCCTAGTTTAAAAATACAGGTCAGGCTCACCATAGGAGGAAGAAGTTAGGTTAACCACGCCATCTTCAGGGAGAGTCAAGTCAGTTGTCTTATGATGAGAGACTCGATCCATAACTAACAAGCGAAGGGATCTCCTTGGGACGCATACGTCACCACCTCCACAGAATTGTCTCACCTATTACGAGAAAGGCACCACCTCCACCAAAGTACCTCGACTGATACGAAAAAGGCGCCTCAATTTATTAGAAGACGCTTATAAATTGTAAGTCCCACCTGTACAAGGGGATATCTCACACCTTTCACTCATACTTGAGAACCCTACACTCTTTGAAGCAATAAAACACTCAGGTCATCCTATCCTTTTACAGTAGAGTAAGTCACATTGACCAAGCCACTTAAACTGTGTTTTGCTTATGTTGGGGCAATAAATACTTGATAGGTGTTGTATAAATCCACTTTTGTACATCATCAGTTTGTTGTCGTTTGTGGGAAACGACTTAATCTTCTACTATCTTTCTATTTTGTTTTACTTTCTTTCCATTTTATGACTATTACAACTAGTTCCATGAATCAACAAACGAAAGATAATGGTCCACCAAGTCGTGACGAGGTCCTGCCTCCACCAGCAAACCTTGTCGTTGCGGCAAATTTTGTAGCCAGACAACAATTACTAGAGACAATGTACCTGTTGGTGAACAAAAAACTAGTAGATCCTCTAGTTGATGCTCACCGGATACCCTCAAGGAGTTGTACCCCACCCTCCAAGAGGAGAAACACCCCAGGCAATCTACCCAAGGCACCCCCTTGCAGCGACAAGGCGTCCCTCCTCAGCACCCAAGCACCTCAGCTCCTCTTCCTTATGTCTCGACTTTGTCCTCCCGCGCTAGTGACCTTCCTATGCACAAAGACAAGGAAAAAAACCAATACATGGACCATGAAAGCTACTATAACAATAATTAAGAGGGCATCCTTAACCAACGGGAATAAAAAATTAAGGAGGTGTAAAATCAGCAAGGCGATGTCTTCAACGCCATCAAGGAGCAGGCACCGGAAACAGTCGACTACCTTGCTAGGCGCACTAACACTCCATTTGTAGCTAATGTGGTCAACTACCCTCTCCCCCCAAAGTTCAAGATGTCAACCGTGAAAGCTTTGAATGGCTCCAAAGATCCACTAAACCACTTTGACACCTATAAATCCTTGATGCAACTTTACAACATACCAGACGAGATCATGTGCAGGGCTTTTGCTACCACCCTCAAGGGCTCTACTCGCTAATGGTTTGTCAAGCTTACCCCGGCTTCCATTAACTCCTTCGTTGAACTAAGCATGTCCTTCGTCTCACACTTCATTGGGAGATGCCGACACCAGAAACCTACCACCCACCTACTCGGCATCAAGCAGGACCGGAATGGAAGTGTAAGGAGTTACCTCACTCATTTTAACGAGGAAGTCCTCCAAATTGAAGAGTCATATGACAAAGTCGTCATGGCTGCCTTCATAGAATGGTTACGTTCATCCAACCTTATGCTTTCAATTTTGAAGCACCCGCTAAAGAACATGCTAGAATTACTATCAAAAGCCCAAAAATACATTAACATTGAGGATGTCATCAAAGCCAGATGAGCTGAGTGCTCACGTATAGGGGAGAACAAAAAATAGAAACCACCAGCTAGGCGCATAGTGCCAAAGCCCAGCCAAACGCCCACGCCCATGGTGCCCATGCCCATTCTGCCTAGCGCCGTCACCTGCGGCGCCCAATGCCCTCACCCCTAGCACTCTCATCCACGGCGCCCAACGCCATTACCCATGTGCCAAGCACCTGCACCCATGCGCCTATACACCCAACGCCCGCTCGCCAACCAGCGTACCTCACAACCCTCGCCTTGGAGCCTGCCTTGCCAGTATGGGCGCGTCGCCTGTTGCATCACGCGTGCCCATTTCTTTAAGCAATTCCCCTAGCGTCTACCTCCTCTCATATGGAGTTCTCTCCTCAGGCACCTCTTTCCTCTCGTGCTCCTTGCCTCTCGTGCCCAATGCCCATGCTCTGTTGGCTTTGTACCTTCTGCACAACACCTCACTG